TATTTTTGCCACAAATGTGTACAGAAAATGAATTTAACTTTAACTAATTTAAGATTTAATTTTCAATAAGGCCAAAAAAATTATAAATAGAAAATGAGTGGATTTTTTTGAATGAAAGGTTTATATCTGCTTTGGACCGGTTGTCATTGCTACTTACAAGGAGAAAGATAGCATGTATGTTTCAGGCCAGGGATAAGACAGGGAATCATTGTCTTGTGAGGAAAATGTCTTGTCAGGGGATTTTATTTAAAGTCATTCCACTTTCCTGTTCACATGACTGTACAGGCCATCACTGAATGTGCTGGGTTACTGGGAAATTTCCCTTTCAATGCCCAGGATGGGGTAGGGCATAAGACAGGGGGTGATCGTCACGCAATATTTGTGAATTCGAGCCATTGTTTGTATAAATCACATGTGGGTGACAACCTCCCCCTGCCGGGAAAAAAAAAAAAAGAATTGTTAAAAAAAATCATAAGGCTGGGAGTTTGTTTTTCACGGGATCCGTGATGAGCGCGAATTCGTTGCGTGACGGGAGGCGATGAACAGCGCCACATGCACAGTGCCCGTCGACTAAACCGCCATTTTGAATAAGTTGTTGAAGAAAAGGACGTTTTGTTTTTTCAAAAATGTTCCCCTCGCATTTTTCTGTCGCCGATTTCGGTGTCTTTGCCGTTGCTTTGGTTCTTGGATTGATCGTTGTCCTTCTATTCATGTTTGACTTCGTAAGTACTAGTAATGTTTTTCAAACGCACATGATCCGTTTAATTTGTTGTGGCTGCAGATAATTTAGGGAGATCGATTAGCGTCATAAGCAGAGAGATCACCCGGAGAGATCAGCGTCGAGTTTGGATTTTTGGGGTTAATGAACGTCTCAGTATTTAAGGGTTAGCTTAGTTTCTCAGGGTTTAGAGCTTAGGGGTTGGGGTTAACCTTACTAGTAAGAATTGCTCGTCGCGTCTGCTACCGTAATGGTTGGTGGTTATCCATGGCCAGTCGTTTAACTCTCAAAGTCGATTGACCCCCAACCGTTTAGCTCCCAACCAGAGGTCGGTCGATCTCGTTCGTGGAGCGTGAATAGGGCTAATCGACTTCTGGTTGGGGGCTAATCGACTTCAAGGCTAAACGACTTACTTACCCTTGTATCGGGTGCTTACCACCGGCGTCGACAAAACCTGGATCGGACCGGATCGGATCACGGATCGGATCACGGACCGGATCACGGACC